ACTTATGGGATCTGTGCTAACTCTGGCTAGCTAGTGTCAGAACTGAATTGACTTGTAGGACACCCACTTGATGTTGGAGAATTCCTGGTGCTGAAAAATGACAGAATTATATTAATTGATTTTTGGATGTTAAACTAATCTTGCACTCCTGGGCTAAATCCCACTGGGTCATGTTGTTTAATCCTCTTTATATGTTTGTTTTATCTGGATTTGCTAATATTTTGACCTCTCTGTTCATGAAGGATATTTGACTGTAGTTTTCTTCCCTTGCAATGTCTTTGTCTTTGGTGTCATACTGGCCTTGTGGAATGAGTCGGAAAGTGTTTCCTTCCTCCTCTATTTTCTGAAAGGATTTATGAAGGATAAGTATTATTTCTTCTTTAAATATTTTATAAAATTCACCAGTGAAGCTATTTAGGACTGAAGTTTTCTTTGTGGGAAGATTTTTAATGACTAATTAAATTTCTTTATTTCTTATAGGGCTTTTCATATTTCCTATTCCTTCTTGAGTCAATTTCAGTGTCTTTCTAGGAATTTGTCCATTTCCCCTTAGTGATGTAAGTCTCCGCCTCTTGAGGTTAACTTTCATTAATATGGAATGTACTTAATGTTGAAAGTTGCAATATTAACTTACTTATTCTTACTTACCCCTGAATTTAAGCCCATAACTCTCATTGGTCATTGCAGAGTATGACCATGCCATCACTCTGTCATACGCTTGAGATGGGTATGGTTTTTATAAAGGGACAAATACAGGAAGTTCTACTGGAACACAGAGCACATCTCAGGTTATTTCACTGCAGCTGATCAGTTCTGTAGCGGTAAGAAAAGTTTACGGACAGCTATCCACTGCACTCTGTTCTACAGCCAGAACACAAATACTGATGACCACTAAGGGGCTTTTTCAAACAGATTATTATGTGTGTCATTTTCTTTCTTAAAAAAAATTTAGGGGCCGCCTCCATGGCCCAGTGGTTAAGTTTGCGCGCTCTGCTGTGGCGGCCCAGGGTTCGGATCCTGGGTGTGGACATGGCACCACTTGTCAGGCCACGTTGAGGTGGCGTCCCACCTCCCACCACTAGAAGGACGTGCAACCAAGATATACAACTGTGTACAGGGGGGTTTTGGGGAGATAAAGCAGAAAAAAAATTTAATAGTAGTGACAATCTATTGCAAGTTGGCCATTACCCACAGAGGAATGGCCCAGCCCATTCAGAGACCACGGCACAAAGGAGAAGGCTTTTTAATTGGAGAAAATTTCATAAGTGACCATTAGCAGGGCAATTCTTCCCTCTCTGTGCCCGAATAAGTGATTTCTTCCTGGACACTGATGAGAGATTTTCACATATTGAGGTATATGGGGTAATTTCTGGTTCAAAAGTGGTTCGGCTTGAGCTAAAGAAGCCTGACTTATGGCCTGTCCAACACACACTGTACCTCTGCTCTAACCATTAAAGTGAAGAACGCACTCTCTTGAGATGGGAATGTGTGCATCCCCTCCCATATTAGTCCCTTTCCCAGCATCAAGGTGGCGCTGACCTGCTCATTTGCAACTGAATACCTCTCTGAACTTTGATGAATAGTATCCTGGGTGTGTTTAATGTATGTTCTTTGTTCTAAAAAGGTGTTAGACTGTCCTGGAAACCATGCTTCTCTGGAATGCTTTCTTCCTTTCTGGAAAAGGCCTTCCCGGGTTATAATCCTCACCCCGGCTGGAGTCAAACTCACTTTCTCTCTCTTTGCTGTGGAATGGTTGTCGGTGATTTTGCATTGACAACACTGAAGGAAGTTTTTGGACTTTTTTTTACCTTCTTTAAGGGCACCAATTCAGTACTTTGACTCCAAGAAAACCCTTTTAGCCAGATATTTGGTGAAAAGAGAAAACAACAAAGTTTAAGACTGCAGAGAGTGGCTGGAACAGCAAGAAGGGACATACCTTTTTCTCTAGACAAGCTGATTTTATTTTTGCTTTGTGAAGACAGCAGGTTGAGTCTTCCTCTCATTACGTCACTCTGACCCTGATCCTGAACCTGACCCTGACCCTGAACTGCCTCCTTCTTTCATTTATAAGGACCCTTCTGATTACATTAGGCAGACCAAGGTAATCCAGGATAATCTCCCCATTTCAAGGTCAGCTGATTAGCAACCTTAATCCCATCTGAAACCTTAATTCCCCTTTACCATGTAATATATTCACAGGTTCCAGTGATAAGCACATGGAAATATTTGGGGGGTGGGTGTCCTCCTCCTTCTTTTTCTTTCTTTTTTTTTTTGGTGAGGAAGGCTGTCCCTGAGCTAACACCTGTTACCAATCTTCCTGTTTTTGCTTGAGGAAGATTGTCCCTGAGCTAACATCTGTGTCAATCTTCCTCTATTTTTGTATGTGGGACATCGGCACAGCACGGCTTGATGAGCAGTGTGCAGGTCCGTGCCCGAGAGCTGAACCCACAAACCCCTGGACACTGAAACGGAGTGTGCAAACTTAAACACTGCCACTCGGCTGGCCCCTCGGGGGGTCCTTATTCTGCCCACCACAGTCCCCCTAGCAACCGGAAAACAAGTTTTGTCTCCATATTGCTTCTGCTGTGACAATCCTGGCATCCAGCCGTGACAGCCACCTGTAACATAGCTGGAGCACAGCTGTTAATTGTCTAGGTTCTGAAGCAGACACCTGGAGTTTAATTAAGCTCTATCACTTACTAGCTCTGCCATCTTGGTGTATTACTTGACCTCTCTGTGCCTTTCTCACTGCTGTTTATAGACGGCTTCCTCGTGTATAAAACGGGTATAATAATGGTACCTAGCTTAGAATACTTGTAAAGTGCTTAGAACAGCACCTGGGACGGTTAAGCACTCAACGTTTATTAGTGAAATCTGGAAACAAAGAAAATTAGCCTTGGGAAGTCAGATCTTGGAGGGCTTGGTGGCACTGTGTGAATGTGCTGTGGCCCATCTAGCAAATTAATTAACATGAACAGGCACAAATAATCCTGCCCTGCATGGGGCTGCTCAACTTTTGCTAGTTTTAATGATTACACGGACCCAGAAAGGAATGAAATGAAAGAAGTGATCTCTCAGGAAAGAAAACAGACTGTCTAACAAACCCAGTGTACTTGGTCCTGCAAAACACGGAGCCTGGGCTAAAGGGTCCCCAGTCACAGGGTTTGCTGATGCGAAGGCGACGGCCTTCAGTCTAACGCAGTTCTGGACACAAACAAGTCCTCACCGGCAGAACGGAGCCCACGCGCTGGAGCTTTGGGTCCACCACCTGCAGAAGAACCAGCCCAGATGCCCCCGCACGGCTCCTCTGACAGCACCATCCACCCAGCAGACCCCTCGCCTGACACGCCGACGGGAAGCGTTTGCTGCGCTCCTCTTTTATTTGAATGGTTGTAAGCACACAAAAGAAGTAGAGGGAAAAAAGCTGCTTTTCCTCAATATGTGCTCTCACAGAGCCTACAAGATGTCATCAAAACTGTGCTTTCAGTTCGTGTGACAATTATCTCAAAAGATCTCTTTTAAAATGTAAAACAGAGACAACTAAACCAATAAAAAAGAAAGTCAAACAGGCTTAGAATATAAACAAAAAGATTGAAGAATTGGGAATATCTGACAACATTTTAAGGAAGAAAAGAAAAAAAGAGGGCTATGAATTGAAATGGAGTCAAAAAGAAATGCCCAAATGAGCCTCTTTTGGATTCGATGTCTCTAAAACTGCAATCAGCTTTTTCTTTAAATTATCCACCTCAGTTCACACAGAATTAGGGCAGAGCGACTCGTGATAAAAACATCAAACCTTCCAGATTTAATAGCAGCTCAGAAAACCAACAGTCACAAGCAGATGTAGCAGGGAAGTGCTCAAGGCATATTCCAAGTATTTGTAGACAAAGTAGAAAATAATGTCGAGTCTGAAAGCCACTGGGAAACATTATAGTTTCTTGGCTTACCAGATTAACAAAAATACACTTCCTAGTACTAAAATTTAGTATATTGTGGATCAACAAAAAGAAATCATACTCCAGAGAATGAGAAGATAAGCCATAGCCTGGGAGAAAACATTTGCAAAAGATACATCTGATAAAGGGCTGTTAGCCAAAATATACAAAGAATAAAGATCTTAACAGATACCTCACCAGAGAAGATACAGGGGTGGCAAATAAGCACGTGACAAGATGCTCCACATCATATATCATCAAGGAAATGCAGCTTAAAACAGCAATGAGATACCACTTCATACCTTTTGAAGGCTGAATAATATTCCACTGGATGGATATACCACATTCATCCCTCTGATGACAGACACACTTGGGTTGTTTCCACCTTTTGACTATTGGGAATAATGCTGCTACAAATGTGGTTGTACAACTATCTCTTCAAGTCCTTGCTATCAATTCTTTTGGGTGTATACCCAGAAATGGAATTGCTGGCACATACGGTAATTCTAGTTTTAGTTTTCTGAGGAACTGCCAGTTTTCCACAGAGGCTGTACCATTTTAGGTTCCCATCAACAGTGCACAAGGCTTCCAATTTCTCCAATCCTCACCCAAACTTGCTATTTTCTGTTTTTTTGATAGTAGCTATCCTAATGGGTGTGAGGATCTCAAAATATCTTACCCATTGATCGGCAACGTATTTGCATTTTGAGAACCTAAAAACTCCCAAGGGATTTATTGTATGCAAATCAACAACTAACCAACCAACTAAAACTCTCAGAGGAAAGAAATCCTATAAAGAGCCAAAGCCCAGGTTCAAATGTTTTCAAGCTTTTGGGTATGAGAAAACTCTGGGGGTGAGGGGGCGGGGCACCTCTTCACACTCACAGAGAAAACATCTGGGATTCAGAGTCGCTCAAGGTCTAAACCAATTTCAATACATACCATATGACATTTTCAATAAAAGAGCAGCACACCCATATTTACACACACACACCCCCATGTGAGACTAAGCTAAGACTTTTACTTGCCTAGAGATACGAAGATAAAATTACTTGACAGGGTATATAAGAGAAGTATAAAAATTACTCTTTATTTCATTGTCACGTTTCATTTTTAACACAAATAATAAAAATTTAAAAGATGAACTTAATGATAGCAGCCATCCAAAGGGCCCACCGAGAGCAATACTACGTATAGACATAAAAACTAAGTAAAAACAAGACCTCAAGAAACAAAAAAGGTGAGTACAGAACTTGAAGTGAATAATGCCGTGCACAGCGGTGGGAGGCGCCCGGAAGCCGTGTTCCGACGCATCCACCTCACTCCAGCTCGTCTCCCTCCGACAACAGTTCCCGGCACTCCTGCAGGAGGTGATAGGATGCCACAGCTTCCCTGGATTGAAGTGCTCAGCGTCGTTAACAGAGGCTTCTGAACCTCTTTCCGCCAGCCTTGTTGGTGAGACCCATTATGAAGAAGGAGCCTGGGCGAAGGAGCGATGTGTGAATGCAGGATCCAGTTCTCAGCCTCAGTGTCAGAGAGCTTAAGCCCAGAGTGATAAGCAGTCTGGTAAGATGGTCCCAAAGATCCCTGCCTGTTGATCCCCAGTCCCCTGTGTAATCCCCTCCCTTGAGTATGGGCGGGAGCTAGTGACTTGCATCTAACAAAGAGAAAACAGCAAAAGTGAGGGGGTGTCACTTTCGAGATGAAGTTATAAAAGACCGTGACTTCTGTCTTGCTCCGACTCTCCCTTTGGCTTTTCTCGCTCGCTTTCTTTGATGAAGACAGCTGCCATGTTGTGAGCTGCCCTGAGGACAGCTCCATGGAACAAGGAACAGAGGGTGGCTTTCAGCCAACAGCCATGAGGAACTAAGACCCTTCGTCCAACAGCCTGCTGGGAGCCGACTCCTGCCAACAACCACAGGAGTGAGCTGAGAGGTGGGGCCTCCCCGAGCAGAGCCCAGCCAACACCTTGACTGCACGCAGCCTTGTGACAGACCCTGGTCAGAGGACCTAGCCTAGCCACGCCCAGACTCCTGACGGACAGACAGTGTGGGATGATAAAGGTGTGCTGTTTTACGCGGCTGAGTTTCGGGGTAACACGCCGTGATAGATGAATACACCTGGGTCAACAATAATGTGCTTCAAGAGATGATAACATCATTCGTATTAATTCCGAAATAGCATTTACAAATTATTTATATAGGGTCAACTAATAAGTAAGTTTATCTCAACTTCAAGAAAGAAACTCAAAACTTGGTAACCTACTACAGAAGGGTTTAGTGTTCCACACAAACGAAACTTCTCTAAGGACTCTAGCTAACTACAGGGTTTTTGAACTCCCTGCGCTTGCCATGGCATCTGAAAGTCACGTTTCATCGTATTTCTTTAGATTTGTAAGTCAACTATACATTTCTAAATTTCTAGCAGGTTTTTAAAAAACAGTGGGAAACAAGACATTGTTTGTCTTCTTGGCTAAATTCGCTTTGCCAGAAAACTCGTTTATACAGTTAAGCATCACAGTTAAAGGCGGGCTCCTGTGTTCATGTGAAATGTCCAGAACAGGCAACTCCAGAGACACAACGTAGACAGTGACTGCCAGTTCTAGCCCAGGGAACGGGGAATGAATGCTGAGAGGCAGGGGGTTTCTTTTCGGGGTGATGAAAATGTTCTGGAATTTGATCACAGTGATAGCTGTACAACCTTGTGAATAGACTAAAAAACCACTACACTGTACACTTTAAAATGGTGAGTTTGACGGTTTCTGAATTACATCCCAATTAAAAAAGTTTTTTTAAGCAAGCTCTGCTGGATGAAAGCTAACATGTCCACTTAAACATCTCCCCACATAGTTGCACCCCACCCCCAGACATATGTATGGAATGGGGTCTGCATTACATCCTCTAGGAAAATTACTAGCAAAAATCCTCCTCCAGTAAATGTGTTTGTTTTTTTAATGTGTTTTGTTAATTTACAAATGTTATTATATTACTGTTTTTTTAAGATTTAAGACAATTTTTACCTCACTTTATAATATGTACTTAATTAGCCACTCCTTGCTATGAACTGCAAGGTAAGAAAACTTATCAAACCAAACGTTTAAAGAGGAAGAAAGTGCAAATCTTTTCAAAGAGAAGATTCCACTTCAGCATCTCACAATTTATTTACATGTCATCCCCAGACACATATACGGAGTGGCAGGTGCTCCCTCCTATTCCACAGTAACACAGACTTCATCCGGAGCAGGAGTCTTTATATGACACAGGGCCTAGTATTTTGAATCAAGGCAGGACCTTTCAAAGAGAACAGGAGGGAGAAGAAAACATTTACATTCTGTAACATGATTATAAGGAACTTGAGTTAGATTAACTGAAAAACAACATCTTTGAACAATTATAACTGACGGAACAAACTTCCCTTAGTCCACTTGTTTTAAATAGCTAATATCTGTAAACTTGAATACCAACTCTGGCAGATTCAGCAGTCTTAATTCTTTGTCTTTCCGTACTAAACATCATCCAATCTATCGTGACAACGAAATGTGGCTTCTTCAACCCAGCCCCGGCACTCAGCTGTGTCGGGTGAAGACGCGCGCCTCCTCGCACTGGCGCCTCATCAGATGCTTCCGTAGTCGGAGCCGCGGGCTACAGTGGCGGCAGCTTCCCACTCCACAGTGAAGAATGAAACAGTTCCAAAAAACCCAAAGATCACCATGACCAGGAGTTGCCAATGAAGGAGAAGGTAGTTACTGTAGAAAAATGCCACAGCTGCACAAATGGACTACGAAGAAACAAAACAAAACAAAACAAATCACAACATGCGCACGGGTGACCCAAGCCCCACCATCAGCCCCAGTGCCCTCGGACGCCAGCTGCGGGGACTGGCACTGCTCCGCTCTTTCTGCATCTAGCCAGGCCTTCATGAGTCACTAGCTCACAAACATGCACCAGGAACTCCATTGAGAGTGGGTAACAATCAAGTAAGCTACCATCCCTGCTCTTTAAAATAGCATTTTGTGAAAAACTGGAGTAATAAAATAATGTGCATGCACAGGGAGAAACATACTTGTCTACATTCTGAATGGAGTCTGGCGTCTAAGGAAGGAAGTCTAATCTGAGCCACAGAGATCAGAATGTCAAGTCTCTCAGACAAGCAAGGGGAAAAAACCACACCGCTCACTGCTTCCTAACTCTGATCCCAAATCCTTTTAAAGGGTGGCCCTGACTGTCACTTAAGAAACACTGAGGACAAAGTTAAGGCACTAAAAGAAGAACCCCACTTTCGACACCATCTGAAGACGCAGTTACCTGAACAAACTTAAAGACCGCAAAGGCCGGGGCGCTGTCCTCGGAGTAGAGGAAGCCCAGAATGCTGAGCAGCTGGGTGTTGAAGCAGCTGTCCCCCAGGCCCAGCAGGAAGCTGCAGAAGACGGCAACTTCTTTGCTGAATAAAATGAAAAGTAACTTAGAATGAGGATTAACAAGATTTGTTAGAACCACTTCAAATGCAGACACACCTCACCCGCAAAAGCATTGTACTGTCGAGCTTTAAAGACTACGAAACAAGAAAAAACAAACGCTGGAACTTGCAAAGCAAGAACTCCTGCTCAGACGTGCTCACCCGCGCAGGCCAGCAAACGCTGGTCTGTTAAGTATTTGGGAAGCGGGGCTGCCCGTGGGCTGTGGATCTGGACACAGGCGTCCACATCTGGAATGACTTTGAGAGCTGCCCGCAGTAAGACAACATCCTCGAAACTTATACATAAACTTATAGAAACAACTGGGAAAGGACTGGACGGCCCACCGGCCCGTGGATTATCCCTTGCTCTTCCCTGTTTCTCGTCGAGGCCCTAACTTCTAGAGATTTCACTGCTCAAGAAGCAGAGGGATAAAATTCAAATCAGACACTGCACGTGCTCCCTCACGGAGCAAGAAAAAGATTTAGTGGGGAGAAAGCTTAAAACCAACAGTTACAAAGACAACTTGGGATTCTCTATGGATTCCTACTGAAACTTATTCTGGCTCCACTGAGACTTGGCAGATGAATTTATAAAGACAACAGACTTTCAGAAAAGGATTAATTGTTCCATTTTAAATATTTGGCCATCCGTTATCTTCTGCCCTTCCTTAAATTACTAGAAAAATGACAGTCACTGTACCTGGATTTGATGTAAGCACTGCTATCAGTTCCTTCAACAGGAGCAATAGGGGCGTCCGCAGGCATGTTGAGAAATATTAAATAAAAAGCTGTAAAATGCACCAGGATGCCCAACAGCACAACTGGATTCCTACCAAAACGATTATTCTTGCTCAGCAGGCCAAAGAGGCTTCCACCTGTAAAATCGATGAAGTAGAGAACAGGAAAACCCAAGATCAAGTTAATAAATCAAAATCTTGGTTCTTCGAACAAACCAATAGCTAATTTAATCAAGGGGGGAAAAAAGAAAGAAAGCACAAATAGACAAATAAGAAAAAGGATTGAAACAGAAGAAATTTTAAAAGTGAGAACAGACTTCTGGGTAGGATGGAGAAACAGTGACTTGCTGTACCCCCTGCCTAAAAACAGTGTGCAGAAAACATGAAGCAATGGTTTTGAAGACACTGGATATCAGGCAATAAAGGACGGTGACCTCTGAGACAGGAAACAAATGAGTTGAGGCCTACACCTGCCCCCGCTGAAGCTGCCGGCTGCAGAGAGGCTGCGCTACGGGAGGGAGAGGGAGCCCCGCAGCCCTCCTAGTTGAGGAGACAGAGCCAAGAGCTGGGGGTACCAAGGAGGCTCGAGTTCCCAGGTCAGGCTATCAGAAAGGAGAGCTGCACGGAGACTATTCCAGAGAGCTGCAGAGGGTCAGTCCCCCGCATCTTCACCAAGTGCCAAGGAGCACATCATGTGAGTAAATTAGCAGAGGCCGGGGAAGAACCGTCCAAGAGAACTCAAGGTCTTAGTGCTCTTCCCTGGGCTGGCAATAACGCCCGGTCCCACCAGCCAGACTGGAAATCTTACGGTTCACAGGCACTGGGTACACACAGAAGGGTCTTCCCGCAGGAGTGGGGAATAATTAGCCCTTGTCTGAGCACTGCTCCGGTCCTGCCTAACAAATCTTAAAAGCAAGACCTGGAAGAATCATACCGTCTCCAAGTAAATGAACTGCACCCAGGAACAAAGCTCAAGAAGATTCATGGACTACAGAAACATCCAGCACCCAACAAGGGAAAGTGCAAAATATCTGGTACCCAAAACATTAGCAGGCATGCAAAAAGCAGGAAAATAGGACGCAGCATGGGCAGAAAAATCAGTCACACAGAGTGATCATGCAACCCAGCGATTCCAGTCCTGGGTACCTACCCAAGAGAAATGAAACATAAAACTGTACACAAACGCTCACAGCAGCATTACTCACAATGACCCCAAAGTGGAAACAACCCAAGATCCATCAAATGATGAAGGGATGAATAAAAGGGTATAGTCAAACAATTAAATATTATTTGATAATAAAAAGGAATGAAGTACTGATACGTGCTGTAACCTGGAAGAACCTTGAAAACACCCTAACTGAAAGAGGCCAGACACAAGAGACCACAGATTGTGTGATCCAACTCATGTGAAACGTCCAGGATAAGCAAATCTATAGAGAAAGAAAGCAGATTAGTAGTTGTCTGGGGAAGGGCAATGAAAACGTTTTAAAATTGGATTGTAGTGATGGCCGTGCAACCCTTGGATACCCTAAAAAACTGAGCCAGACACTTGAAATGGGTGAATTATATCTTAGTAAAGTTGTAAAAAACTACCAGAACTGTCACTGACGACAGACTGACATTAAAACAACTACTGTAAGAGTATTCCATGTGTCCAAATACATATATACACCTAGTCCTGCTCCTGGTGTTGGCAATGAAGCAGGGAACAAAGTCTCCAAAGCTGCTTTCTCCATAGAGCTTAGCACCGTCTGCATCCTAAGCTTCCTATGCTTTTTACTGTCTGCGTTCTTCCCCTAGAATATAAGCTCCATGTGGGCAGGGAGTCTGCTGGGTTCACACAATGGATGCACAATAAACACCTGTGGAATTGACGAGTTCCTCAGATGTGACACAGGTCCAGTAGGCTGCAGGTGTTGAACAACTCTCTGTTGCATGAGGGATACCCAGTGTGGGGTAATAAAAACATACACTCAGTCTTTGCCTTGCCCCCCACCCATCCCTTTCTGGCACAGAGCTCCTAAGACCCCAGGAATTTCCTCAGTGATAGGAGTGGCTTTGGCATCTATAACAATCCCTTTCAATCACACCAGGCTACGCTTACGAGGTAATTCTTGGGGCAGGGGTGGCCCTAAATGGCTTCAGGATGCGGGCTGGTTGCCAGAAGGACCAGCCTTGACGAGGGTTGGGACTCTGTGGCCCACCCATGGACCTTGCGGGAGGGGAGAGGGGCCGGAGATTGAGTTCAATCACCAACGGCCGATGATTTAATCAACCGTGCCCACATAATGAAATCTTCATAAAAACCCCTAAACAACAGGTTTGGGAGAGCTTTCTGGTTGCTGAAGGCATCCACATGCTGGGAGGGTGGACAGAGGTTCCTGTGCTCGGGACTCTTCTGGACTTTGCCCTATATTCCTCTTCATCTGGCTGTCGGTTTGTTTCCTTTACAATAAACTTTAATAGTAAGTATAGCATTTTCCTGTGGGGTTGTGGGACCGCCTGAATTTATAGCCAAGTCAGACAGAACTGTGGGGAACCTGGGGACCCAAGGCTTACGACTGGGGTCTGAAGCGAGGGCGATCTTGCGGGATTGAACCCTTGAACCTGAGGAGTCTGACACCAACTCCCGTACTCAGCGTCAGAATTGAACTGTATCGTCGGACATCCAGCTGGAGTCAGAGATTCCGAGGACAAGAAAGTCAGGGATTCTAAGACACCTTCCCTAAGTATTCAAGAGGAAAGGCTGGGAGACCACGTGTTCTCCTGTTTACGGTTTTGTCTTTGAATTACTTGGCAAATGTTTTATAATTTAGTTATCTTAGAACAGTAATAACAAAAAAACAAAGATATACGCAATTGGGCAAAAATAAGCAAGGAAACAGAAATTCAAGGACAGACAGGTAAAGTACACTTAAAATTTCTATTAAAACTATAACAAACAGATTTAATAAAAAAAAAACTTTTTTAACCAACCTAAAATTTCTCCAATGCCAATGAAAATGCCAGAAAGTCCAATGAGGCTTTTCTCTTCTGTTCCAAATTTATTTACAGCGCCAATACAGGTTCCATACACACCAGAGAAGAAAGTCAACTCCAGACCTTAAGGAAAAATCAGACTCAAGTTAACTGTCCATTCCCATTCTCCCTCAGTTCCTGTCTCGGAGTATTTGAGCTGTATAAATATAAAACAAACATACAAAACAAAATTCACACAGGCTGAAATGATACTCCAAAAGCAGAGCATAATTTTATGCTACATAACTGAGAAAATAGAATTAGCCACAAGATGGCAGTTGTCACATATTTCAGATAAAAATATACAACTTAAGCAAAGATATCTTTATGCTAAAAACAGTCACTCTGCGTGTAGACAGGGGATGGACAAAGGACATAATGAACACAAACTTGGAACAGTGAAGACCAAAGTGCTCATGATCCTTATTAGTAGTTTTCCGAAGGAACAGGAACATATGCTTGAAAAACCAATGCATATGTACTATCCACTTTTCCTTAAAGGCACAATAACGGTTTTTTAAAAATATGGTTTTATTTATTTTTTTTTTGAGGAAGATTAGCCCTGAGCTAACATCTGCTGCCAATCCTCCTCTTTTTGCTGAGGAAGACTGGCCCTGAGCTAACATCCGTGCCCATCTGCCTCTACTGTATATGTGGGACGCCTGCCACAGCATGGCCTAACAAGCAGTGCTAGGTCCACACCCAGGATGCAAATGGGTGAAACCGAGGCCGCCAAAGTGGAATGTGTGAAATTACCACTGCGCCACCAGGCCAGCCCCACAAGAATGTTTTAATTAAACCTTTTTTCCCAGGAAAAGAAATTCAAAACATTAGGGTAAAAAGGGCAAATCAGTAGAAGCCCTGCTTCCTCAATGCTACAAAACCTTCACTGAATTTTAAAGATGTTTAATATTCATTCTATTTCTCGTAAACGGAAGATGTTTATACCTATCAAGCACATAAAGGCAAAAGTAGTAACTGGCACATTACAGCACTTTCTAAAAGGAAACAGATTTCCTCATTTTTCTTAAGACCTAAGAGTGTTCCACCTGTTATCACACCAGGTTATCAGCGGTGAGCCACAGAGCTCCTTCCGTTTCATTAGAAATTTTCCTAATCCACATAAAATCACAAAGATTTACTCATAGCTATTTTCTGTAGTGCTCCATTTCGCCCTAAAATCACTGGTTGGGATGAACCACGCCTCCTGGTTTCCAAGCCCTGTGCAGAATCCCTCCCACGTTGAACCTGGGCTGGCCTTGATTTGCTTTCACCAACAGGACGCAGTGCAAGCGAGGCTGGGCTAGTGCTAGGCCTAAGCTTTAAGGTCTGGTCCTTTCTCCTTTCGACCTTTTTGGAGTCCTCAGCCACTAAGAAGTCTGGCTATCTTGCTGGGTCCAGAGGAGGGGATCACATGGGAGGGGTCATGCAGCTGGGGGCAGACTACATGCAGAGAGAGACCCAGCTTTGTATCTGACCCCTTCAGACATGAAAATGATATTATCTTGCAAGTTACAACCCTAGCTGCCCTCTAACAGCACCCACAAGAGACCCCAACTGAAACCAGCAAAAGAACTGTTCACTGAGTCCAGGCAATGCAGAGAATTGTGAGAAAGAATAACACGTTTGTTGTTTTCGGCCCTTACTGTTATTATACAAGAGAAAATCAAAACTGCAATTAATCCCATTACCTGTATAAGCAGTTGTAATACTAAGAAGGAGCATCTCCTTGGTGACACACAACTTAAGAGACTTTTCTGTAAAAAAAAAAAGTAAACAAAGAAAAGAAAAAATTTAGGAGTACTTAACTAGATTTTAAATAATCAAACAAAAATTCTGAGACATTTATTCAACCAAAAACACCCCTTGTCAATAATGCCAGTAAACAAATACATTGGGACAGAGGTTAATGATTGAGATTAAAATGCTTATTGAGTTATGAACTAAATCTGCCCTAAAAATAAAATGGTTATTTCAACTGCTTAAATATATTCTAGAGTCCTGTTTTCTCCAACACATTCTCCAGCTCTAATTTTAAAAAACTACACGAAATGGAGAAAAGAAATAGGATCAAAACAACACAATACTCTAACAGACTTGATTAAAGGTTAGGCTGTTAAGGGAGTCAACAGCTGGCAAAGTGCTAACGTCCCTCAGGAGTGGTCACGGGCAGCTTTGAGAGTAAACTCAAGAGACCCAGGGCGGGGCTTCTGACCACACAAGGCTGCGACTCTACCTCCTGAGACTCTCACTCTCTGGGGCTGAGGACTGAAATGTTAGTTTTGCATATTTGTTAACCATCACTTTAATGTTTGTTTTTATACTGTTCAATTTAGTTGAAATCTACAATAGAAAACACATTTCTAAAAACTGCACTTTTTAACTGTCTTTTTGAACCTGCTCACATTTCATAATTTAAGGCCACTAATCTAGTATCCTAAACTAATAGTGGACCCAGATTTTAGCTCTTATTCAATTGCTGGCTACAAAACTTACATAAGTCACAAACACTCTGTCCTGAATTTCTCCAAATGCAAAAGAGGATACTTTTCTCTCTAATTTCACTGAAATATAGAGACTAAATGCAATAAGATATTTTCACCATTTTCATGTATTTTCATGAAAAAATACATCATCAACACAAGGTTTAAAACAATATATATATATATTTTTAGGAAGATTAGCCCTGAGCTAACTGGGGCCAATCCTCCTCTTTTTGCTGAGGAAGACTGGCCCTGAGCCAACATCCATGTCCGTCTTCCTCTACTTTATACGTGGGACGCCTACCACAGCATGGCATGCCAAGTGGTGCCACGTCTGCACCGGGCATCCGAACCGGCGAACCCCAGGCCGCCGAAGCGGAACGTGTGCACTTAACTGCTGCACCATCAGGCTGGCCCTAAAACAATATTTTTAATTTAAAAAAGTTACAATAGCAAAGCATGATTATTTGTGAATAAGGAGAAGATTTAGCTAACAAAAAGAAATTTTAAAATACAATCTAGTATGATACTATAATGGTGAATACATGTCATTACACATTTGTCCAAACCCATAAAATGTACAACACCAAGAGTGAACCCTAATGTAAACTGCAGACTCTGGGTGATAATGACACATCACTGTAGGTTTATCGATTGTAACGAACGTACCACTATGGTGTGAGGCATTGATAACAGGGAGGCTATGCATGGCAGGTGGGGGGCAGGGAGTATATGGGAAATCTCTGCACCTTGTTCTCAATTTTGCTATGAACCTAAAACTGCCCTAAAGAAATGAAGTCTGTTAAAAAAAAGAAAGAAACAAAAAGCCCACAATCTATTTGCAGAAATCAACAAACTGATCCTAAAATTCATATGGAAATTCAAGGGATCTGCAATAGCCAAGACAATCTTGAAAAAGAACAACGTTGGAGGACTCAGACTTTCTAATTTCAAAACTTATCAACACAGCATGGTACTGGCATTAGGACAGACACACACATCAAGAAACAAACTCACACGTACGGTCAACTGATTTTCAACACGGTGCCAAGAAAATTCAGTGGGGGAAAGAATAGTCTCTGCCGCAAATGATGCTAGGACAACTGGATATGCACATCCAAAAGAAGGAAGTTAGAATCCTCTCTCACAACATAGACAAAAATTTACTCAAAATGGAGCGCAGACCTAAATGTAAGAGCTAATATAAAATTCTCAGAAGAAAATATAGGAGTAAATCTATGTGACCTGGAGTTAGGCAAAGTCGTCATGGACACTAAAAGCACCCAACAAAAGATAAAATAAATAAATCAAAAAAAAAAAAAATCAGACTTCACCAAAAATGTAAAACTTGTGTGCTTCAAAAGGTACCATCAAGAAAATGAAAAGTCAACCCAAAGAATGGGAGAAAATATTTGCAAATCATATTTATAAGGGACTTTCAACTAGAGTATGAAGAACTCTTACAGCTCAATACTAAAAAGACCATCCAATTAAAAAATGGGCAGAGGCTGGCCTGGTGGCGTAGTGGTTGGGTTCGTGCCCTCTGCTTCAGCGGCTAGGGGGTTCGCCGGTTCAGATCCAGGGTGCGGACGTATGCACCGCTTATCGAGCCATGCTGTGGCAGGTGTCCCACATACAAGTAGAGGGAGATGGGCACGGATGTTAGCTCAGGGCCAGTCTTCCTCAAAAAGCAAACAAAAAAACCCCCAAACAAGCAAACAGAAAAGTGAGCAAAGGATTTGAGCAAACATTTCTCCAAAGAAATGCAAATGGCCCATAAGCATATGACAATATGCTCAACATCATCCTCCGTTAGGGAGATGCAAATCCAAACCATAAGATACCATCTACACCTACCAGGATAGCTACAATCAAAAGACAGATAACTTAAGGACATGGGGGAACTGGAACCCTTGTACACTTCTGGTGGGAATGTAAAATGGTACAGCCACTTTGGAAAACAGTACAGCAGTTCCCCAAAAGGTTAAACACAGAGATACCACATGACTCAGCAATCCCACTACTCCTAGGTACATATCCAAGAAATCTGAAAACACATGTCCACACAAAAACTTGTACACGAATGTTCATAGAAGCATTATTCATGACACCTAAAAAGCAGAAATAACTTAAACTTTATAACATGCTATAACATGGATGAGCCTTGAAACCATTATGCTAAGTAAGAGAAACCTATTGCAAAAGATCACATATTGTATGATCCATTTATATGAAATGTGCAGGACAGGCAAATCCATAGAGACAGAAAGTAGATCAATGGATGCCGAGGGCTAGTGATGGGGGCTGGGGGGAGGAAATGGGAAGTGATTGCTGATGCGTACAGGGATTCTTCTTGGGGTGACGAATAGGTTCTAAAATTGATCGTGGTGATAGTTGCACAAGTCCGTGAATATACTAAAAACCAGCGAACTGTACATTTTAAATGGGTGCATTGTATAGTATGTGAATTGTATCTCAATAAAGCTATTCTATTATGGAAAAAAAATACAAGCTAACACTTAATGGGTCTCCTTCAAGACTTTCCTATGCTTTTTTTCTAAATTAAAACAAATTCCAGGGGCCGGCCCCGTGGCCAAGAGGTTAAGTTCGCGCACTCTGCTTTGGCTGCCCAGGGTTTCGCCGGTTCTGATCCTGGGCGCGGACCTGGCACTGCTCGTCAGCCATGCTGGGGCAGCATCTCGCATGCCACAACTAGAAGGACCCACAACTAAACATATATACAACTTTGTACCAGGGGGGCTTTGGGGAGAAGAAGGAAAAATAAAATCTTAAAAAAACCCAAAAACAAACAAAAAACAAATTCCACTATATATACACTATTTTTTAATTTGTTTTTCACATAACAGAGCAAATATTTTCTAATTTCAGTCAAGACCATTTTAATGGCTAGGGTAATCTAGTGTATAAATGTACTAATGCCTTGCAGTTGAATATTTAAATTACTTCCAGTTTCTCACTAATATAAACATCCTAGTAGTTAAATCTTGACAAAAATTCTTAATTATTTCCTGAGGATAATCCTTAGTGGAATTGCTGGGGTACAGATATAAACATGTTTTTTGTTTTGTTTTCTGTCCTTGGTGAGGAAGATTGTCACTGAGCTAACCTCTGTGCCAATCTTCTTCTACTTTGCATGTGGGATGCCGCCCCAGCATGGCTTGACAAGTGGTGCATAGGTCTGGGCCCAGGATCCAAACCCGTGAACCCCGGGCCACCAAAGTGGAGGGCACGAACCTAACCACTACACCACGGGGCTGGACCCCCAGATATGAACATTTTTAAGGCTTTTGCTACTTATTGACAAATAGCTCTTCAGAGAGTAATACAAGTGTACATTCTTATCAGCAGTGTGGTCTTATGCACCTAAGTACCTACTCCTCATAATACTGAGAATTATTTTCTATCTTTTGAAATTTTGTAGAAAACTAAAATTTGCATTTCTCATACTTAGGTTATAATAATTTTTCTATGTTCTCCTGGAGTGTGTATGCTTTTCTTTCCGGTTCAGAAGAGCTCTCCATCACATCCTGCTCATATTTTCGCTGCCACTGTCACGCCGTCAGGCTGTTCTGATACACGGAAGTTTTACATTTTAGGTAACCAAAGAGCTTCTTTTCCCCTATTGTTTGACTGAGCTGCTTGAAATACTTTTCTCTACCCAATTAATTTCTTCAATTACTTCTATGGTTTCCTTTTTATCTTCAACCTACCTGGAAATGTAGTATGAGATAGGAAGTATGAATCCATATCTTTTTACATGGTCAGCTATCTACCTTTGCTTATTTTGATTGTATTCTACGTTCCTATCTGGACATGGACCTGATTCTAGACTTTAGTTCCACTGCTCTTTCTATTCCAATGATTTCAAATGAATTCACACGAGGTTTTAATATTTATTAGGGAAAAGTCCTTTTCCTTTTTAAGAATTCTCTTGGCTATTCTCAGACATTTATTCTTCCACATGAACTCTGGGAGTGTTTCATTAAGACCAAAAAATAAATTTAAAAAAATTTCACTGAAATTTTCTGGAATTGCATTGAACTATACATTCGGTTGAGGAAATAAATGCTTTTTAGATAAGGAGGAACTTTTTCTGTACAACATCTATCATAGCATCAACCGAAGGAATGTCATGATTAAATAATAAATGAAACACTGGCCTACAGACAAACTACTTACAGCTTAAACATTCTTTCCCTTTCTGTCTTTGCCTTTGGCTTCCTCGTCACCTCATAACCTCATGTCCCTCCCCAACTGCCCAGGAAGCACCACCTAGGTCTGCTTGCCCTACAGTAGTTTATATGCCTTACTATTTTTGGCTGGTGCCTTCTTTATGACAGCCCAGCATCCTATTCCTCCTGAACCCTACTAAGAAACTAACTAGCTCCATGATGAAAAGCAGGCGGCCCTAATGGCATCAGTGCCTCATTTTACAGACGGAGAAATTGAGGCAAAGTCTGTACAACTACCTAGGAAGAACATCCTGAATCCAGTGAACACCACTAGAAAGACAAGAAGGGGGTTCAGTCACGGAGCAGGGAGGCTGCAGCAAGCCTCACCAAGGCTGGACAAACCATCCCACAACCCTGAAGGGCATCAACCTCCCTTTTCCTGACTCCATGATCACCAAATAAGCCAATTCGGCTTTCTAGGCCCCTGATAACAAGAAGGGAATATCCACGAAAGGGCTCACTAAAAAAACTAAATGCCATCATAAACGGTTACGTTGTCTTTCTGTGAGTTTGTTTGGTTTGAGTCTTTTCCCTCTGACCCCTCTGATCAATAATGGGACTTCTGACAAACAGGTTTCTAGACCTGCAAAGCTGGAAAGCCAGGCCTTTGACTGTGGTGACCTCCCATCTTGATGGGGACAGTCACGCTATATCCTTTCTAATTATAACCTGTAGCCCACTTTATAATTATGAATGTATTCCTCAAACATAAGAAATGCATATAATAAAAGCCCGATAAAACAGCCTCAACGATGATATACTATAAATGTGAGGCCCAGACTACCACACCCACAGGCTCTTTCTAAAAAAGACGTTACAGGAATTCCTGGCTAAAAGTTGGCGTGCTCTGTGTCATTCGATCTAGGTCACATCTGATTAAATCAAGAATTTGCACCCTAGCCCAAGGCAACCCATAGGCTAACCATAAGTACAGAGGAGCATAAGGCCCAGGGACCCACAGGGGTTTACTGAAAGAATGTCGTCCCCAAAGGCTACTCCCTCCTAGAATGTAGCTACATCAGCCAGACTCTCCCTCTTCGGGGGAAGACAGAGAAGCTGCGAGAGCTCTAGGCAAAGAACTGGCTGGTCTCAGGCTGCATTAGAATCGGAAGCCATGGCCGCCTGTTTCTGAAGGAACCACGAGATGGCCATTACGGGAATTGCTGGCTCTGCTGGTCAGGCAGTTTGGGCTCAAACCCCAGTTCAGCCAGGTACTAGCTGTTTGACCTTGAGTAAATAATTTCTCTCAGCCTCAGTTTTCTCTCCTACAAAATGGAGATAATGATGGCGTATGTTATATGCTACCAATAGAATTGTTGTGAGAATAATATAAAACATAACACATAGAGGTTTAGCCAGGAAGAACCCTCAGCAGATGAGCACAGCTGTTTTCACAAGCTACTGGGTCACCAGAGCTCCTGCTCCGTTCTGAGGAGTGACAAGCGACACCTGAAGAAATGGTTGGTACGTCCCCACTTCCTCGTGGAAACTCCCAGCTCCTGAGTTCTCTGCGGCCTCCCTCACACCCCGACTCGGGGAGGGCAGTCGGATTATCATCCATCCCTCACATCCCCCATGTTAGAGAGAGAGTTACTGAGAAGACTAAGGTATTTCAGAGCGGCATACCTGGAAAAACGAAAATACTGGGGTATCGTCAATCCAAAGTTACCAGGGAAAAGGGGAAAGGCAAACGCTGAAGTTGTTCCCGACACATCTTGCATTTCAGACACAGAAAATACTTACTAAATGCATCTACTGCCTTTGTCATATTGTTCTGGGCAGACCTGATAAAATAAAAACGAAAAATAAAAGTTTTTTCCCTTGAAAATTGAAAAGAGAAGAAAAACACTATCACATTTTCACTGCAGTTTGTAAATGCGCTGTCCTCTAAACGGTCTGGCGAACATGGCCGGCGCCCCTCAATGCTCCTTGCTCCAGGTGCCCCTTCAGGACCCACGTCCTTGCTTTGGAGAACGCGGTTAAGGTCCCACCAGGGCAGCTCCTTATTAACGATGGAAGACACAATTCTTTCACACTACATCCACATATTCATGCAAGTCTTTTTGAGAAATGATACTTCAGACAGGACAGAAATTTCTTCCACTCTGCTATTTTTCACACTGTAAAAACAATTTGTGAGATGGGGCTGGCCATCTTCGTGCGCTCCGCTGCAGGCGGCCCAGTGTTTCGTTGGTTCAAATCCTGGGCGCAGACATGGTACTGCTCATCGAGCCACCCTGAGGCGGCGTCCCACATGCCACAACTAGAAGGACTCACAACGAAGAATATACAACTATGCACCAGGGGGCTTTGGGGAGAAAAGGGAAAAAATAAAATAAAACCTTTAAAAAAAAAACAAAAACAAAAAAACACTTTGTGAGAATTCAATTTTCCACCACTCCTACCATGTAAAAAGTAAGTCCTGCAGCGTCAAAATTCTTCGAAAGCAACACCACCATCTGCGGTACGTGGTTGGGTGCAGTACAATCTATTAGTTAAAAATGTGGGAGTTGGAGTCCTGCTTTGCCATTTATTAATTGTATGGTTTTAGACAAGTCACTTCATTTTTCTAGGTTTCATTTCTTCATTTATGAAATAGGGACACTACCGCTTATCTATGAGAATTAAATGAGATAATATAATTTAAGTGTAGTTGTTTATTATGATTATGGAAGAAAGTTTTTAAAAGATTACATTTCCTGGGGCCAGCCTGGTGGCGCAGCGGTTAACTGCGCACGTTCCGCTTCTCGGCAGCCCGGGGTTCACCGGTTCGGATCCCGGGTGCGGACACGGCACCACTTGGCAAAAAGCCATGCTGTGGTAGGCGTCCCACATATAAAGTAGAGGAAGATGGGCACGGAAGTTAGCTCAGGGCCAGTCTTCCTCAGCAAAAAGAGGAGGATTGGCAGTAGTTAGCTCAGGGCTATCTTCCTCAAAGAAAAAAAAAAAGATTACATTTCCTGCCCTACCAGCCAATACAGTAATACCATCTTCTCCTATATCTTTAAATGATATTGTTTACCAAAAAAGAAAGCTAATGGAGATCTGGGTGACTTAGATAAATTACTGATTAAAAAAAGGTAGCATGTTCTAACCAACAGGAAAACTTTTTTCCCTCACCATAAAAACTCTTGCCCTCCCTGGAAGAAAATACTATTTAGACTCCAGTTAATTGACAGCACCCTCGTCTTATACTTGGACAGGATCAAATATAGGCCCCAAGTAAGTAGGAACTGATTTATCCTCCACAGACTATTAAAATATAATCAATTCAGCTAGCGCTCAGCTGCAAATCATTCCCAATTCACTCCGAGATTTTAAGGAAGCCATTTCTAGTGGGAGAATTCTAAAATAAAGTAAGGTCCTGCAGGAATGCGGGTGGGGTAAGCTCGATCATTATCAGGCCCTCTCAAAACCCTCCAACACGTTCCCATCTCGCTCTAAGTAAAAGCCACAACTGGCTCACCTCTCTCAGGTCTCGCCTCTCAAGGACAGCAGAATGTGTCACCCCAAAATATGACCGGATGGGTTCAAGACGTGCCACCCCAAAATATGTCGCTTTGGTACATTGATTATTTTGAGCTGCAGGTGCTTGAAAAACAGCAAATGCAGGGAGAGGCTTTCTCTGAACTCCCCTTGTCTGCCTACAGACAGATCCTCCAAAAGGAACTCAGCTGCCATAAATCTGCTCCCCAGGAGTTTCACCAACCAGGGAGGCCTGACTCCTGTCACAGGAGAGGGGACTAGACGTTGACACCACACCCAGACAAACCTAGTCACCAACTATCATAACTCCCATCTATTCTTCTACGGGCCCATTCGTCTTTCCTAAAAATCATTTACTCTCCCATCAGAGGCCCACATCTCTCCTTCCCTTCCTCTATTAAGAACATATTTAAGCCTACACTAGCCCATCTTGGGCAGTCACTCTTTTTTCCCTAGGTGTCTCCCATGTACACATGAGGTAGACATGTTAATAAACTTGCTTTTTTGTTTCTTGGGTTTTTTTAAATCTTAAGGGTTTTCTTTGTTTTGTTTTGTTTTGTTTTTTAAGGTATGCTTTTTTTTTGGTGAGGAAGATTGGCCCTGAGCTAACATCTGCTGCCAATCTACCTCTTTTTTTTTTTCTCCCCAAAGCCCCAGCACATAGTTGTATATCCTATTTGTAGGTCATTCTAGTTCCTATATGTGGGTTGCCATCATAGCATGGCTTGATGAGCTGTGTGTATGTCCGCACCCAGGATCCAAACTGGCGAACCCTGGGCCGCCGAAGGAGAGCACACAAACTTAACCACATGGCCACAGGCTGGCCCTGTTTTTTCTCTTGTTAATCTGTCTTTTATTACAGGGGTCTTAGCTAAGAACTCAGAAGAGTAAAGGGAAAATTACTGTTCCTCTCCTACAACCTAAATGTTACCTTCTCAGCCTTCCCTAGAAACTCTATAGTTATATATTATATACAACAACTATTATATACAAATAACTCTATTATAACCTATCATTGCAAGCCACCCTTCCAGCCCATACTTCCGTGCTCCTGCTCAGCTTTAGATTTCTTCTGTTTTAAAATCCCAGATGGCAAAGGAGAACAGGATTCTTTTGAAGGGTAATGAAAATGCTCTAAAACTGGCTGTGACAATGAACACACAACTTTGTGAATACGCTAAAAGTCAATGAACTGTACGCTTTAAATGGGTGAATTGTACAGTATGTCAGTTATATCTCACTTACAGCTGTTTAAAAAAAAATCCCCGTTTCTCCTTTCTCTCACCCACTGACAGAAAGTAAGCTCCATGAATGCAAGACTTCTGTTTGTTCAGTGAAGTACCCTCTAAACAACACCTGAATATACGAGGGAAGGAAGGACGAGCGGGAGGGAGGGAGGGTGGAGAGGCAACCGCCACTGCAGAAATTCCTGGAGCTCCCTCAGCCAACAGATCCCCCGAGATGCCCATGAAGCACATGAGGACAACTGAGATAGAGGACAGATATCCAGCTGTCTTCTCGTATCTTCAAGTCATTTTCTGTACAGCCTTTAAGTGAAATCGTTTAAAATCAGATCCTACTTATTCCCTCAATGGCTTCTAATCACACCAAGAAGACAACGCAAACTCCTGACATGGATTTACTACCGTCTAATCCCCGCCTACTGCAGACACTCCTGCTCCCACTCCCTCCCAATGCCAAACCTCTCTGGCCTCCTTGCAGTGCTGGTACCCACCGCATCCTTTCTACCGCCCGGCCTTGGCAATGCACCAGCTGATCCTCATCATTCTCAGCAACCAGGTCTCAGGGAGCCACCCAGCTCTCGGTCACCTCCCTCTCTTTCCCTGCCTTCTTAGCACTCAGGGTGCCGTTTTCTTCCATGTATACTGTCTACCAGTCCCTCTAAAATTAAGTCCCTTCAAAACAGGGACTTGTTGTCTCGTTCACTGCTGTATCCCTCTGGTTCTGAACAGGGCTGGCACACAGTCGGTGATTTTTACAGAATAAAGACACAGAAGCTTCAAGCTTGGGAGACAATTCAGGAAGAGAAAATGCTTAAAGGGCTGAGCAGCAGTCCTCAGTTCCACACCTCACCACAGTTACGTAATGCCTGTCTGTCAGCAAAGCTCCCCGAACACAGGGACGGGCGGCATTTGTCATCATAGCACCAACACCCAACATTTGCTGAATGAGCAGGTGTTTAATTTTTGTTGAAATTGTAGTATTCATCTTCACAGGCCCCTTCCCCAATATCTATTAGTTTGTGCCTAAATATATATATAATATATACATACACATATACAGATACATGTATACATAATTTATGCTATACAAACATTGTATATATACGTATAAATACTTATATATTCAAAGCAAAGGTAATGCCTCTCTTTTGCTTGAAACAAACTTAGTGAAATTTCGAACACAATGATCCTATGACTGGAGAATTTTAGACCCTTTTGGGATTAATAAGGCAGCACAGAAAGCTCAATGCAAAAGTTATAAGAATAAATAAAATGCTACAAGGCAATCTTTCCAATTTGCTAATTCACAAACAAAGCAAAAGGAGAGTGGCAAAGACTTCTCATTCCCCTTTCCTCAAATCTAGTTAATACCTGCAGAGAAATCTTCTCTGATGTTTTAAACTGTTTTACTTATAATTGAAATATGCTCGAGGTAATTCACAACTTTAGGGTTGTATACTTGTGTCCTCATTTGGACTACTTTGGGGAAACGATCTGCGTAGGCTGCTGCAAGAACCAGGTCCTGTACACAAGAGCACGGGCGTGCCCAAGCCTCATCTGTGACAACTGCTGACGGCCCTGCCACTCCCAGGGACCATGAGCATCAGATTTCAGGCTTGGATCCAAGAAACAGTGGCTGAGGGCAGACTGCTTCTTACTTAACTTTCTAAGCCCCTATCTTTGCACATTAAGACACATGAGATGCCTGCAGAATTGAAGGAGGAAATTGAGGCCTGGAGAAACCAAGGGGATTATTGCTACTGTCCAGGGTCACACAACTGGTCAGTGGCAACAACCAGTGGGATCACACTTAAATCCCCTGGAAACCTTGTCACTACCTCCCGGCCTCCGTTCTGCCTTCTTTTTCCTTATTCCTCCCCCGAAGATCCCCTTACCTTCTTTCTCCTCTGATTTGCTTTAAAACTTTTCCCTCATGTCTGGGCAATATTGGCTATCAGGCAGGGCTATAAAAAGGCTGGTAACCTCTAGACTAGATCTACTCTAAATAAATTTTCAAATAAAAAGGACATTTCCAACTTCTTACTCGTTGACTTCCAGGTCCTGGTCATCAGAAGATTCATCCTCTCCCAGGACATTTTCAGAATCTGGTTTCCGAATGAGAAAGAAAAGAACTGTCCCGACAAGGCTAATCACCGTCAGGGCAATAAACACGGTCCTCCGGTCACTCTCTGGAGAAAGAAGAAGAAAGGAGACAGCATTCACCTTACAAACAATTCCAGAGGCAGTATTATATCCAGAGGTTGTTTATAACCACCCAACGCTTCCTCACTAGACTCCTAGTTCACTGCATTAGTAAAAACCTAGCACAAGGAGACAGTAGGATACCTCCACTTCTGCCTTTCAACCGGAGAAATACTAATAAGCCAACAGACAAACAGCACAAGAACTTAATCATATTCTTTTAATCAAATCAGTGTACAGACAAAACAATTAAGAGTTCAAAAGCCTGACAACTTACTAGTATCATCCATGTACCTAGCATAACCTCCCCCCACCCCTGGCGATGCCGCTTGAAGCATAGCCAGAAACTGTAACCTCCTCGAGAACATTGTCCAAGGAAGAAAGTTGCTAAACGCTAAAATCTGAGAGGACTCAGGGTACAAGGCTCATCAGAACAACTCGAATGAAGCAATAACGGGTGTTTCTGTGGAACTATTATGCTTTGAATATATCTGAATAAAGCAAAGCAAATAAAACAGACCTGATATTTGCGTTTTCCCTTGCCAAGCAAAATAGATGTAGAGATTTCCAAAGAACAAGCTGGGGGAAGAAAAGGGAGGAGAGGATGCTGGGAAATTATTTTCATATTTATAGTTCTTTAAACAATTTTTCCATTATTTGTTAAAAAGAGAAAGGGAGGCATATATAATTTAAAAAGTATCTACCTGCCCCACCCAGATCATCTAAAAGGATCAACTCGACCCCTATTCCTTCTGAAAACTTCACTGACCCAGAGGGAATTCAGTCTCCTTCCACGTGACAGTAACCTGACTCAGAGCCGCCCTGCAAAGAAGACTTGACTCACTTTGAAACACATGATTTACTGGTACTGGGAAAATGATTCCTAGGAAACAAGCTTATGCTACTTCTAAAAGGCAATATTTTAAACAAGCTATGAAAAAAAAAATCCACGATCTAGTTATCTGCATCTAATCAGGTACTTATTTGGCATACTTTCCTAGAGAAGGAATCATTCACCTACACTCTGGTTTCTTAACAAACAACCCCTCAGAACTAAAGCCCTGCATTTGTTAAGCCTTTTCAACGCCAAAATTTTAGGCGAGATCCATAAGGGTAAAGCCTCAGGACAGATTCCATGACACAATGACTGTTGTTGCTTTTTACTGAGGAAATATATAACATGCCACATTGGTCAGTGTTAATAAAATTAGCCTCATTTTTGACTTTTAATATATTGGTTAACAGCTATCAGGAAGTGCAGCTCAATGGGAAGGACGTGACCTTTGGAACCCAGATAAGGATGGTCCAAGTCAGATCAGTTACTTAACTTTTAAGCCTCTACTTTCTCATCTGTAGAATGGAGATAATACTTTCTCATCTCATGAGGCTGTGAGGATTACCGAAATTAAGTAACGAATCTAACAGTCCCTGAAATATAGCACATGCTAAATATATTATGGTTAATACGATTTTCTATTTACTAATCATAAGTTCCAATGAGGTCAGTCTACACATTTTAAGTAACTCCATAAAATTTTAAATCTATAGCACATGCAGCTAGGAACTTAAGTCACGTAACATGGAAGATCTGAATTTTCAACACAACAAAGACCTAAAAAATGGTGTGACAAAAAAAATTAAAGGAAAGCTGAGCTCGAAAAGGATTATTACCTGGATTGTAAGAGTGCCCAGAAAATTCCACTGTTTCTCCCAATAGTGTGCTCATCTGAATTTATTGTAAGGCAGTTTCCTTGTGCTGTCCAAAGCACTAAAATTCAAATCAAAAGTTTATCAAAGGAATGAAATCACTTTGCTTTACATATTAAATACATAAATGATACTTAGATAAGCCCCAGAAAACAGAGAAAATAAACATCAAAATGCTTACCAGCAGCTGCAATTCCAATGAAAACAGAGGCTGTGTAGAAGGACCATGGGAAAGGCTGGATAAAAACGGCAATGTACATGCTAAAATATAACAGGTCAACGTATTACAGTCAAACAATACCTGAAATACAACGCCAATCATGCCTCCTAGGAAGCAATCTGAGGAGTCTCTTTTATTTTTTTTTCCTTGCTGAGGAAGATTTGCCCTGAGCTAATATCTGTTGCCAATCTTCCTCTTTTTTTTGCTTGAGGAAGACTGTCCCTAAGCTAACATCTGTGCCAATTGTCCTCTATTTTGCATGTGGGTCACCACCACAGCATGGCTGATGAGTGGTGTAGGTCTGCACCTGGGATCCAAACCCGTAACTCCACAAACCCTGGCCACAGGGCCGCTGAAGCAGAGCACACCGAACTTAACCACTACACTATGGGGCAAGCCCCTCTCTTCTTCTAAAATTCGACCTGTAAAGGACTTCTCCAGTCATGGGGGAAAAAAAGGGACAAATGTGACCTCTTCATTTCTTAATTTGCTAGTTCAAATTTGTAAAAACAGACATTGAATGAAGGTTTGCAATTGGCCTTGCCAATAGCTTAGCACATGATGGCACTGGAGTTCTATAGCCCAGAAGAAAAATTTAGTTTTTTCATTTGAATTCTGATTAGTTAACTCGATATAAAATAAGATTATTTCATGGGAAGTTATTTTCAACTCTGGCAGAAAGATATTTTTGGATACTATTTTTATTAATAGTAAAACAAAAGCAAATATACACACATTCCGTCACATTAAAACAATGTGGTGTCTCTGCGCATCAAGCAGAGAGGCAAACTTCTAAAATACTGCTTGTGTTCCACTTGATCCAAGTCGGCAAGTACTTTTTTGGGTTTTTTTTTGTTTTTTGAGGAAGAATTGCCCTGAGCTAACATCTGCTGCCAATCCTTGTCTTTTTTGCTTAGGGAGACTGGCCCTGAGCTAACATCTGTGCCCATCTTCCTCTATTTCGTGTGGGATGCCTGCCACAGCATGGCTTGCCAAGCAGTGCGTAGGTCCACACCCGGGATCCAAACTGGTGGGCCACCAAAGTGCAACGTGTGAACTTAACCGCTGCGCCACCGGGCTGACCCCTAAGTCAGCAAGTTCTTGTTAAAAGTTTGCTATATGCTTAAAAGATGCCGAAGGTGTTCTAAATGAGTGAAAGAAAATTACACTACTCACCTGTAAAATAAACCACTAGCAAACATAGAGAGCTGAGGTCCTACAATGGCAACCACTGATGGTGTAATCAAATTTGAAGCAGAGAACACTCCATAAATAATTGCCATGCTGTACAGAAAACATACAAAAGGAAAAAAAACACAATACTCCTGAAACACTGTCTCAAAAGTTCGCTTTTTCAAATCTATTTAGAGTCCATAGATTTTTTTTTGCAATAAGCATTCATATTCTTTAGTCACAATTTAGGATAATTATGTCATTAAACTAAATGCTATATTAAAATTTTCACTTGTACAAAATATTGAAGTCTCATCAAATGTCTCTGAATCAGTCTGCCTTGGACAATATGTTTTTAACGTACTGGTAAGTTATAACAGCTAACATTTAACACGTAACAGGCACCGTGCCAAGTACATATTTTCTCTTTTAATCCTAACAGATCTGTGAAGAAGGTATTATTATTATCCTCCTTTTACAGAAAAGAAAACTGAAACAGAGGGGTTATGGAACTTGCCAAAAGTCCAGCTGGATAGCTGGTGAATGGTGGAGCCAGGATCCCATCCCCGGTAATCCGACTTCAGAGGCCCTAGTCAACCAGTCTGCTCTACAAACTTAGCCTACAATTCCTGGCAACTGCGTGAAATGTCCCGCTATAAATAACAAGCACAGAGTTAAAACTCGCTTAACCCGGAACTTATTTAACCCCATCTGATGGTCTCACTTGAACGTTATTCAGCTACTGCAGACCCGCCCCTAGTACATGTCTTGTAGCACTGGGACTAAAATGCTGAATTCATTTACCAGCCACTACTTATAAATCCAAAATAAATTATTCTTTGGTTTTTATGAATTTCTCAAATATCAAATGTTCTTTCACTTGTTTTTTAGAATATGTATGCATATAAAGCACCACAAAAAGTTGTGGTATTATTATTAATCACTTAGAAAAACGGACATTAACATCCTATTACCCTCAAATATCACAGGCAAGGTCAGGTTTAGGATAGGTAATAAAGAACGAAATAAGAAGAGTTGGGGTGGGGTAGGGAGAGGTGTTGGCCATGATCTGCTATTTAACCACAAAGAAATTTAAAAATCTGTTTGTGCTTATACACTTGTACGCATTACGTCCCCAGCTTCAATCACAGTGCACTACCGACTTAGGAAGGTCTCTTCACTTCATTTTCTCCCTTTGTAAAATAGGGACTAAACACCTGAACAAAAATCTAAGCTCCTGGTGACAGTATATTAATCATTAGGAAATTAGGAGAACAGGAAGACCAAATGTTTCAGGAATCATATAAAACACCCCCTGTTTAGGTTTGGGAAGATGTAATTATGACAAGAACAATACTTGAGAGCTCATTATGTGCCAGGCACTGTGCCAAGAGCTTTACCTGCTTTATCTCAGCAAGGAAACTGGGCTCACGGAAGCAACCTGCCTAAGATAAGGCAGCAATTAAGGTGTGAAGCCCGGGTTTCAAACGCAGTGTCTAATTCTACATGAAACCTAAACTCATCACCTTAATTCTATTATGTTCTCCCAAACAGTCTAGGTACAGAGAAGAAAACGGCAATCACTACCGATTCAATCACGATATTTTATTGCTCATGCTTTTGACGGGATTTAAGCAATTACTGTATTATAAAGAGTAAAACCAGTCATACAACACGATACCTGGTATATCCACTGCCGTGAAAATCTGTGCTATTTAAGCTCCTGATGACAGTTTGCTGTGTGGAAGATAAAACTAATCAACGAAAACATTTTTGCAGTCTTCCCTCCCCCCTGGAAAGTCCGTCTCCAAATAATGACAAATAAAGTAAAAACTCAAGACGCTCAATACTTAATGTTGAAAGTCGACTATGAGAGAAGAGAAGGGACTGCAGAACAGAAGACAAACCAATGACGGGGGGGGGGGAGGGGGACCCCCTGTAACCATGCCCTCCTTAACTCTCCAAGTACCAACGCGGACCTTAATATAGACAAGAAATAAAATAGGTCAACGTACAAACCCCAAATCAAACCAGAGAACGAATGGTAATGTTTAACACCCCATATATTAAGAAGAAATGCCTGACAGATGAATTCAGACCTAATCACGAAAAACGAGGAAGGGTGAGAAAATAAAAGGTGCCATTTCAGCGCGCTGTCACAGACAATAAACGTTTATTATCATCCTTGGAATGCATTCTGATCGGCTCTGCAAAGGAGGGAGAACAGACCCCAACTCACCGCCACATTTCCACAAGTTTGAAAGGCGGTGAACATGAACATAAAGGCAATTCCTAAAATAATGATGTTGAAAAGCTTTTTGGATTCCGGGGACATTTTAGCTCAACTCTCCCGGAGGTCAGCAGCAGCCCAGGGCAGTCAGCTCTCCTCGGGGCGAACCACTGACAATCCTGGGGAAACAAACGAGACGGTGAGAGGAGGAGGCAGATCCGGGAGCGAGGCAGCCGAGCTGTCAACTTGCAGTTCTTGGAACGGAATCCCGGGCTCAGGGTGAAGTTCTCCCCACGGGCACAGTTAGGACATTCCTAGGATACGATCCGAGTAGGGGAGAGCCCAACACCCGGAAAAGCGCCAAGAACGTTGTTGCTCCAGGTTGAGGGGCCCGCAAACGGGATTAGGGTCCAAGGGCGAGCTGCAGCGGCCGGCGCCGCCCCGCCCGCCCGGCCCTGACTCACCGCGGGTCAGGCGACTCGGTCACCTGACCGCAGCCGCGGCGCCGGCCGCTCGGCCTGCTGGGAAATGTAGTCCCGGGCTGTTACCGGCCCCAGCCAAATGGGCATCGACAGCGGAACCCAGCGAAGAGAAGTCGGGGACTGCGGGAGGGGGCCTAGAGACGGCGTAGCAGGGTTTGACAAGGCCGGAGACACAAAAGGGCAAATGTGGGAAGGAGGGGTTCCTCTGATAGAGGCGGGGCTCAGGTCCGAGCAGGAAAGCTGCGTGGAGCTCGGATATTGGCATGAAAAGAAGGCGGGGCTGAGAAAGGAAACACCTCCTCTTCCTGCTGCCCGAGAGCGCCCGTCCGGCCTCGCTGCCGGAAGGAGCGTTTCGCGGGCTTTCCAACTGCCCGCAAATTCCGCTCCCACCTCCCAGCAACAGTGACTCCGCGCTTTTCGGCCCGCCCGCCGAGCTCTGCGCAGGCGCGCCGGGCAGGGGCGGGGCGTGCGGCAGCGACGTTACGGGGCGGGGCGAGGCGAGCCAATCAGAGGATTCATTTCCGGGTGGCGCGGGCGCCATTTTGTGAGGAAGGCTATAAATGAACGCTGGGGCCGGACGCCAGCCCAGTTGTTTCTGTGGTGGAGGGCCTTGCTCGTGTGTTCCGGTCCTCTGCTCGGCTTTCCCAAACGTTTCCACGCGGGCGCCAACTGCCAGCGGAGAGGCGCGGCGTCGAGCCGAGCTAGGCTGAGGAAACCGCCGCCGCCGCGCGCGCCCGCCCAGAGCGTTAGTTGGTCGACGCGCAGCCGCGGGCCCAGGGCCGAGTCTCCAGGGCCATGAGTTACGGCCGCCCGCCTCCCGATGTGGAGGGCATGACCTCCCTCAAGGTGGACAACCTGACCTACCGCACCTCGCCCGACACCCTGAGGCGCGTCTTCGAGAAGTACGGGCGCGTCGGCGACGTGTACATCCCGCGGGACCGCTACACCAAGGAGTCCCGCGGCTTCGCCTTCGTGCGCTTCCACGACAAGCGCGACGCCGAGGACGCCATGGACGCCATGGACGGCGCCGTGCTGGACGGCCGCGAGCTGCGCGTGCAGATGGCGCGCTACGGCCGCCCGCCGGACTCGCACCACAGCCGCCGCGGCCCGCCTCCCCGCAGGTACGGGGGCGGCGGCTACGGACGCCGCAGCCGCAGGTAACGGGCCGGCCGGGCGGCGGGCGGGCGGGCGGGGCCGGGAAATGGCGGCGGCGGCGATCATGGCGGCGGCGGCGACGCGGGCGGGCGGGCGGGCGGGGCGCGGCTCGGCCCCGGCCCGGCCCCGCTGACGCCGCCGCCGCCCCCTGCAGCCCGAGGCGTCGCCGCCGCAGCCGCTCCCGCAGCCGCAGCCGCTCCCGCTCGCGGAGCCGCTCCCGCTACAGCCGCTCCAAGTCACGCTCCCGCACGCGCTCGCGCTCACGCTCGACGTCCAAGTCCCGCTCGGCGCGGAGGTCCAAGTCCAAGTCGTCGTCGGTGTCGCGGTCGCGCTCCCGCTCCCGCTCGCGGTCCCGGTCGAGGAGTCCGCCGCCCGTGTCCAAGCGCGAGTCCAAGTCCAGGTCGCGGTCCAAGAGCCCGCCCAAGTCCCCGGAAGAGGAGGGAGCCGTGTCGTCCTGAGCGAACGGTAATGTCCGGCCGGGGGCGCGGGCGCAGCCGGGGGGCGCTGGCGGCGGCGGCCGCGCGGGGCTGCGGAGCGGAGGCGCGGAGCTAGCGAGGGGCTGCGGAGCGCGAGACCGACTGCTGGCTGCCTGTTTGTCGCTGTTTGACCACCGTCTGCATTTTCCCCTAAAGCTGCGGTCTCCTGTTTGGTAACAGACTGTGGGCCGGTTTTGCAGACTTTAGCTGGTTTGGCTGATCCTCGGGGACCAGGTTCTGTGGGCGTGTGTTGGAGCAGGTTTGTGCACGCGTTAAAGACGCACTATCCGCGGAGGCGGCCGGGGGGGCCGGATAGTGTGTCTTTAACTCCGGTCGTCGGTCCTGCGTTGAGAGGAGGGGCCCTCGGTAGCTCCGACGGAGGCCTGTTCCCGGGTGCGAACGTTGGGCTTGCGAGCTCCGAGGCCGAGCGCAGACCCCCCTCCGGCCGCTCTCGGAGCCGCGGTCGGCGCCCAGCCCCGCCCCCTTTTTTGTTTTCTCCCCCCGTGGTCCTCGGCAGCACGGGCGCGCGTGGGTGCGCGCTGGGGGCTGCGGAAGCCCCCCGACCGCCCGCGGCCCCGGCGCCTGGCAGAGGCCGCGCGCTGGGCGGCTGCGCGTGCGCGGCGAGCTGAGCCGGTCTCTCTTCGCACCTAGATGTGTCCGCGCGCGGCGTAGCGGAGGCCGTGGGGAGGACCCGCACCCAGTCCGCCGGAGAGTCCTTGGAGCGAGCAGCTGGCTACCGAAAGGTTATTTTGTAACATTTGTCTAACTTCTTACTTGTTTTAAGCTTTGCCTCAGGCGGCAAACTTCATTTTATGTGCCATTTTGTTGCTGTTATTCAAATTTCTTGTAATTTAGTGAGGTGAACGACTTCAGATTTCATTATTGGCTTGGATATTTGAGGTAAAACTTCCTTTTTGTTTATATAGTGCTGACTTTTTTTGTTTGAAATTGAACAGATTGGTAACCTAAATTGTGGCCTCCTGACTTTTTAAGGAAACGTGCAGCCATTACACACAGCCTAAAGCTGTCAAGAGATTGACTCAACATTGCCTTCATTCCTTAAAATTAAAACCTACGAAAGTTGGTGTAAATTTGTTTGTATATGTTATTTACCTGCAGATCTAAATGGTAATCTGAACCCAAATTTGTGTAAGACTTTTCAGGTGAAAAGACTTGATTTTTTTGAGAGGATTGTTGACCAAACACAATTCTAATCTCTTCTCTTATGTATTTTTGTGCACTAGGCGCAGTTGTGTAGCAGTTGAGTAATGCTGGTTAGCTGTTAAGGTGGCGTGTTGCAGTGCAGAGTGCTTGGCTGTTTCCTGTTTTCTCCTGATTGCTCCTGTGTAAAGATGCCTTGTCGTGCAGAAACAAATGGCTGTCCAGTTTATTAAAATGCCTGACAACTGCACTTCCAGTCACCCGGGCCTTGCATATAAATAACGGAGCATACAGTGAGCACATCTAGCTGATGATAAATACACCTTTTTTTTTTTTGTCTCCCCTAAAAATGATAAATTTGATCATCTTCATGTATGAACTTAAAATATGGAAAATGTTAAGGAAGCAAATGGTTTGTAATTTTGTAAGTACTTATAACATGGTGTATCTTTCTGCTCATGAAGATTCTGTACTATGACTTTTGTTTCTGTAGTTTAATTAAAACGTTTTCTTGGTGTTAGCTTTTCTCAGAATATGTCTTGGTCTTTTTTTCCCCCTTTATTTGAAAGATCTGTGCAGTTATTTTGTGAATGTTACTGAATGTATAGTATGAAAGTGAAGTGTCTAGTTGCTGGCCTTTTTACTGAGTTAAAAAGTGGAAATGCCAGTTCAGCACCCACTACCCCTAAAAACCATGCTCTAAGGTAGCACTTGGAGGTCGTGGGTACCCCCTTCTCTCATAACCTAACTTATGCCCCATTTTGATGACTTAAGAACAATCTCAGTCCTTTTTCTTACAGATGTTTTAATTTTTGTTTTCATGGCTATGTAACCCACGAGTGCTATCTAGGTGACCTTCCATAATCTCAGGCCAACAGATCTGACCGTCTTCAGATGGTACTGCTTGTGCTCTCAAGAAGCTGAAGTGGTCTGAGTCCTAGTTGCCATACCAGGTTGCTAATCAGTATTGACATATTGTCCTAAAACAGCTTGTACATGTAATCAGAGACTGTCCTTTGCAAAGGAGATGACCAGCATTTCAACAGTATGTCTTCCTGGGAGGGCAGACTCTGCTATGTTTTCTTTGTCTGCATCAAAAGACTCCAGAGGGATGTGGACACATTTCATATCCCACTTGTAGAGCAAAGCTTCAAGTGACCAGTCAGCACTGAAAAAAATAAATTGTTTTTTAAAAGTCATGCTTTTCCTGTTTTGCTTCAGATATATTTTCATTTTATCGTTAAACTAGGCATTGTGTAAAATAGGGCTTAAGTTAACTTTTAATAAAATTGAGAGTAAACCAGGATTATTCAGGCCTACCTTCTGACCTGGTAAGTAGACCATAACTGGACCTTGGGGTTCTTCTGCATCAAAAAGTATACCGTAGTTAAAATGTCTTCAAAGTCTGGAAAGAGAGGAATTCTTAAGACCCCTACTTACATAGCATCTCTGGCCAAATTTACTACTGAAGAGCAAAGAAGTGTTACCTTCTGGTTCAAAGAAGACATCAGATGCAAGAAGGATATCTTGTGGTGGCAGAGCCAGGAGCTCTTGAGACATGTGACCCCACGTTAGTCCTATGATGCGCACCTGTGGCAGGTTATTCATTTGGCAGCTTTGCCGACAGACTTCTAGACAGTGAGGCAGCTCTGAACTGTCTGACAGTATTACTTCAGCACCACATTTTGCAGCCATAATTCCTGGAAGGCTCACTCCCCCTCCAATCTAAGAAGTTAAAAGATGGCATTTGAAAGTGTCTAGAACTGTGAAGAATTGGGGATTTTGGCAGACAGTTCCCCATTTCATTCTTGCATTGATCTTTAAATACAGGACCAACATGTAAGGTATATTCTAGAGCTGGTATCTATAAAACCTGCCCTGATTAAATGCTGCTTTACAACATGTGAAGCTTAGGCTTTAAATTTGTTAGGACAAAAGTTATTTCCTTGATTCTTCTAGTTGGATCAAAGGGCATACAGGGCCCTGTATTGTGCAACTGACATAATGTTGCTTCCAAACTCACTGTCTCAGGCAGTTTCATTACTTAATATGCCCAGGGAAGTAGTTTGGGGACACCTGTTCTGTCATTTCCAGTTCTCTTTGGTCTCTAAGTTAAGGAGCTCCTAATAGGACACCAGGTCTCTAGAATCTCTGGTCAACTTGAGCGGGCACAGCCAGCCATTCAGTTGTTTATACCAACTTAATTGCTTTTATGTGGATAAAGCCTGACAGGTCTGCAACATGGCTTTCTACCGAAGGGGATTTTCCAGTTGGGTCTTGAAGAAAGTGACAAACACTTGTACGTGTAACACCAAAGAATTCTTGGTAAGTGTTAACATTTATATCGATTGAAATACAGGCTTCCCATTTTTCAGTTTGAGAGTGGGCAGGATCCTTGATCTTTTGTGAATGCCTAACAGTTTTACCACTATTCTGGACCAGAAGTATGCCAAACCCCTTCTCCACCCTTCGTTTCATTTACATGGTGGTGTGAAAGTTGAGGTGTTAACCTGCTGATTTGTCTCCAGCCTTTGGGTCTATTAGTATAGTACCATTTCTGCAAATGACGAAAGTGTATTTCTCCAGGCCTTCAGCAGTCTCAAGTCAGGTGGAGTTTGATAAGAAGAGCATGAGATACATTTTTAAACTAATCTCTAGATTTCCAAGAATGGGAAGGGCTAATCTGTGAGGACTGCAGGTGTTACAGCAGAGCCCGGATGACCCTGTTGGGACAATCTGGAAGGACGATCTTAAGTGCTTCTGGGCCGAGATTCCATTAGTCAACAGGCTTCACTTAGAATAGGGGTCAGCAAACTCAAGGGCCAGATAGTGAACATTTTAGTCTTGGTGGGCCACGTATGGTCTCTGCCTATTCTTTTTTTAACACTTTAAAAATGTAGAAAGTGTTCTAGCTTACATGCTTTCCGAGCTAGCCAAAACAACCCTGACTTTAAAATATTTAACAAGCTAATAACAAGCATGTAGACTTAAATCTGAACATAGGATTTCTGGAAACCTCAAAGGCACTTGTACCTCTAAGACAGCCTTGCCTGGCAGAGATCTTCTGTGAAACCACAGGTACTGGGCTAGGACCACAGCACAGGGCCAAACATACATTCCATATTGGAGATGCAGGACCTGAAAAGAATTTTTTTGCATGCCATAAATAACTCATCTGCTGGAAGTTAGAATATTTATTTATACAACAATTACTGAGTGCCCAGCACTGGCATCCATTACAAGGACAGTTCTCTGCTCTCCAGTTCACAAATATGTGGGGATATAAAACTGCAGTACCATGTGGTAAGCACTCCATACCCTCACTGATTCAAGCATTTATCCAGCAACTGACTGGCTTAGTGTCTATTCTAGGCTGAGGGTGTATATATATAGATACATCCTACTGGGAAGAGACAGGCAACATGTAAGTAAATATAGTTTTGGTTGGTGAAAATGTAACAAAACAGAGTAATGGGGGTGTGGGGTGCGAGGGTTCAGTGATCACAAGGTGAGGTGGCTGCCCTAGATAGGGAGAGGGGGTGATTCAGGCAAAGGTCCTGAAGCAGGAACTGAAAGGCCTCTGGCTGGAGCATAGAAAGCACTGGCCACACGGGTATGGGGGCTGGAGGCAGGGCTCAGACCTGCGGGGTCTTGTAGACCACAGGAAGTTTTGCTTTTTTTCTATGTGCAATAAGATAACCGGAGGGTTTTAAGCACAGGCATAACTTGGTATGCTAAGAAACCATGTGGTCTTAGGAAGACATCCTAGAAGAGGTTTGAGTGGAGCTGAACTCAACTCGGAGTTAGGGAGGCAGGCAGCTTACAAAGCCTTTGGAAAAGCAGAATTGTGACACAGCACCGTATTTAGGGAGGCAAGATAACATAGCTCACACCTCTGGAATGAGCCTACCTGAGTTCAAACTCCAGATCTGTAACTGACCAGCTGTGTGACCTCACTCAAGGTCTGTGCTTCGGTTCCTCAACTGCAAAATACCATCTCAGGGTGATGAGGAAGATTCAATGCAAACTACTTAGTACAGTGCCAGGCCAAAAATAAGCATAGTTAGCTATTATTAAACCGCAAAATAGCAAGTCTTTGTTTTCTAGAGCAAAGGGTGACCCTAGTGGGGTGGTAGGAAAGGGGGCTGAAGAGGTAAAAACATCCAAGGTGAATGAACTGAAGGTCTGAACTTAATCAATCCACTCAACAAAAATATTAGTGTCTAGAATATGCTTGGCACTGTTCTCTTAGTGTAGGGGGTACAAGCATGATTAACGAGACAAAAAAGTCTGCTCTGGTGGATTTTACCCAGGAGTACAATTAAGGATTTCTGACAAGGAGTGGGTCAGCAGATTTGGGTGTAAAGAAAAGGGACCTCTACTCTCACAGGGTATATCTTCGCCCCCTAAATTTGGGGAGAACTCCAAATGGGTATTTCAATGTGAAGGCGTTTAGAAACTATCAGAAATGGGTTCCACTCCAGCCTTTAACTTCTGTTTCTCATCTTTAAACTGTTATTACTAATGCCTACCTCAAAGACTGCTGTTAAAGTCGAATGAAACACAGCAACGTGAAAGTGTTCTGAAAAACCGGACGTATATAAAATATAATTATTATTAAGAGTTTGGGGGCAGCCACCAGCTGAAAGAAGAGGTGAGTGCCAACCCAAGAAACTTTATTTGGGCAGTGAGAGTTGGAACTCCTGATCCCAGATAAAGCTGAATTAAGAAGCCCTTCAACAAGATCAAAGAAAACATTAGGTGTCAAAGAATGCCCTTTTCTGGCAAGAAATATTCGATGTGGAGAGGCCTCTCTCCTGGCAGGGTCCCCAAATTTCTTACTGAACGACATTTAATCTGCCAAAGGGCTTCAAACCGAACCTTTTCGCTCCGTGGTGCATCCCAAGGCAGGAAGCCGCGGACCCCTGCACCCCCATTCCTACCCCCCTGGTTGTCAGAACCGCTCCTGCCTGGGGCGCCACCGCAAAGACCAGAGGTGCGCCCGGCGGGTGCCGCTGCACGCACCTGCGGGACGTGGACCTCCAGCACGGCCCCCTCGGCTCCCGGGCCCGGCTCCTCCGAAAACCGAAAGCGCTGGGCCCGGACCACATGTCCTCGAAAGCCACGCTCGCCCAGAGGGGAGTCGGGTGCCGGCGGGAGCAGCGGAGGGCGCCGGGATCCCAGGCTGCGCGCGCGGGGGCCGCCTCCCCGGCGCCACGTGGCCATCCGCGTGCCCCGTCGGGTCGCCACAACCCGACGGCAAGAAGGGGGAAGCACTCCTAGGCCGACGAGGCAGCCGCGCAGCGAAAACCCACCCGAAGGCAAACAGGTGAGACACAGAGACAAGACCGGCCGGAAGCGGGCCACGAGAAGAGGCGCGCTGCCGGAAGTGACGCGCGGCCGGAAGCGGGCGCGGGAGAGGCGGGGCCGCACTGGGCGGGGCCTGAGCCGGCCCGACCTTCCAAACATGGCGGAGGCCCGGGGTGTGTGAGGGCGGACCCCGGAGGCGCCGAGGCCAATGGCTGACCGCGAGAGGCCGGGGGGCGGGGAAGACGGCAGCCGCATGCCCAACCCGAGGCCCGGGAGGTGGCTGGGGAGTGAATTTTCTGGAAGGCGACTTTAAAGCTGCCGGGCCGGAGCGAAGGGCGTTTGGGTGCCGCTGTCGCCGCCAGGGCCGGGGAGGGGGACGCGTTGGTGGCCGGAAGCGAGCTGCGCCGGGGTGGTCGCGGAGCCAGCTGGTGACCCCGCAGGATGAACCACAAGAGCAAGAAGCGGATCCGCGAGGCCAAGCGGAGTGCGCGGCCGGAGCTGAAGGACTCGCTGGACTGGACCCGGCACAACTACTACGAGAGCTTCTCGCTGAACCCGGCGGCCGTGGCGGTGAGCGGGCCGGGCCGGGCCGGGCACGGCGGGCGGGCATCGGGGCCGGGGCCGGGCACGGCGGTCGGGCCCGGGGCCGGGGCTGTGGACCTCTCCGGGGCCATGGCCGCCCGCCCCGCCGGCGCTGAGCGCGGCCCCCAGAATTCCGATGGGCTCACCTGCACCCCGCGGAGGTCGGGGTCAAGGGGGCCCGGATTCCAGGGCGGGACTCCTTCCTCCCGGGCAGCTGGAGGCTCACGCCTTCGGCGCCCTCAATAAGAAGGCCTGTCGTCACTTGACCCCTTTGGGCGGCGGGACCCTCGGGGACCCACAAGTGGGAGATGCGAAGCCACCCTCCCTGGTGGGGTGGCGTTGGGTGCGACGTGCCAGCACGCACGCAGGTCCCCCTCCCTCCCGAAGAATCTGGCTCCTTAGGTATGTCATTGCTAATTGGCCCTGGGGGACACCCTTATCTGCCGCTAGACTTTTTTTTTTTTAACTGGATAGGTCTTTTTTTCTGATTTTCTCAGGATAACGTGGAGAGGGCAGACGCGTTACAGCTGTCGGTGGAAGAATTTGTGGAGCGATACGAAAGACCTTACAAGCCCGTGGTTCTGCTGAACGCCCAAGAGGGTTGGTCTGCGCAGGAGAAATGGACTCTCGAGCGCCTCAAAAGGAAATACCGGAACCAGAAGTTCAAGTGCGGTGAGGATAATGACGGCTACTCCGTGAAGATGAAGATGAAGTACTATATCGAGTACATGGAGAGCACTCGAGATGACAGTCCCCTCTACATTTTTGACAGCAGCTACGGTGAACACCCCAAGAGAAGGAAACTTTTGGAAGATTACAAGGTGCCCAAGTTTTTCACTGATGACCTCTTCCAGTACGCGGGGGAGAAGCGCAGGCCCCCTTACAGGTAAAGGACCTGACGGTGAAGCGGTTGCAGTTTCCTCTCCAACAGCATGGGGCAGCCGAGCTCAGTCAGCTCACCTGTTTCCAGCGCAGTGAGTGGTTCTCCCTTGGCTGCACGTGGAACTTAGAAGGCTGCTGATGCCTGCCTGGGTCCTACTGCCAGAGACGGATGTAATTAGTCTGGGCCTCAGGATTTCTGAAAGCTCCCCCCGCTGCTTCACATGTGCAACCAAAGTTGAGCCACTGGTCCATAAGGGAAGTTTTCAGAGTTCAGCAGTAAGCCGTGTCAGTGATTTTTCTTTTTTTTCTCTCAGAGCTTACTCCACGCACAATTCACCCAGCGTTTCTATGTAACAGAATTTGTGTAGTTTCTGAAATAAAGATAACATAATATATTGTATAAAACTGGAAACTTATTTTGTGTTGTTGTGCATAAAGTGAAATTATCCTTCACATCTTGGATGTTTCTATCTTTTAGGTGGTTTGTGATGGGGCCACCACGCTCTGGAACTGGAATTCACATCGACCCTCTGGGAACCAGTGCCTGGAATGCCTTAGTTCAGGGCCACAAGCGCTGGTGCCTGTTCCCTACGAGCACCCCCAGGGAACTCATCAAGGTGACCCGTGAAGAAGGAGGGAACCAGCAGGATGAAGCTATTACCTGGTTTAATATCATTCATCCCCGGACACAGCTTCCAACCTGGCCCCCCGAATTCAAACCCCTGGAAATCTTACAAAAGCCAGGAGAGACTGTCTTTGTACCAGGTATAGATGAACTGAAGGTACATTGTTTGATCTCAGTAATTTGTCGTTTTGGAGCAGAACTGTATAGAGAGGGAAGCAAAGATGTCTGCCTGCTGACTCTGAATGAACTGACCGGTGCCCCCCTCTGACAGTGATCGGTGCTGCATTGGCAAGCGCTTCGGGGCCTGCTGTCCATGTTTCTTGTAGCCCAAATGTGTAGTGACTGTTGATAAATTTTCTGTCTGTAGAGATCCTACTCTCTTTATCCCTTGAGTTACCTAGTGTCTTTGTGTCTGTGCAGTAACTTGTAGAAGCTTCTGTAAATGTGTTTGATACAGTGTAGCACTGGGTGAGTTGAGTGAGGACATAGTGACTTTAAGAGCTGGCCTGTTGGTATAGTGGTTAAGTTCATGTGCTCCACTTCCGTGGCCTGGGGTTTGCAGGTTTGGATCCCGGGCGTGGACCTCGCACTGCTCATCAAGCCTCGCTGTGGCAGCATCCCACATAAAATGGAGGAAGATTGGCACAGATGTTAGCTCAGCGACAATCTTCCTCAAGCAAGAAGAGGTAGATTGCCAACAGATGTTAGCTCAGGGCTAATCTTCCTCACGGGAGGGGAAAGAAAAAGAAAGGAAATAGGGACTTTGAGCCAAGAAGCAGGAAATCCCACACCTGAAAAGTACACTTTGTTTCAATACATTAAGTGTTGGGAGTGAGGATATTGAAGATGGGAGTTCTCTTCCTAGAAGCTGAAGAACTTGCTACCTTTACAGTTTGGGTCACAGCTTTAGGTTAACAGGGGTTGACAAATTTTGCTGTAAAGGGCCAGAGAGTAAATGTTTTAGGCACTGCGTGCCAGACCGTCTGTTGCAACTGCTTGGCTCTGCCTGTGTAGCAGGAAAGCAGCCACAGACAGTCTGCAAACGAACAGGCACAGCTGTGCTCCGATAAAGCTTTACGCAGACTGGTCGTTTGTGATTCCTGGATCAGGAGGTGCATTCACCACTCTGGGCCCTGTGTCTCTGAGGGTCTCCCTCGTGGGTAGGAGTCCCCTGTTTTTGAAGTTTATGTTATACAGTGATTGTGTATAGAACCCAACCCCGTTTAACTGTGTATTGTTGGATTTCAGGAGGCTGGTGGCACGTTGTGCTCAATCTTGATACCACCATTGCCATCACCCAGAATTTTGCCAGCAGCACCAACTTTCCTGTTGTATGGCACAAGACGGTAAGAGGGAGACCAAAGTTATCAAGGAAATGGTATAGGTGAGAGATTTTTTTTTCTTGTTTTTGCTTTGTTCCAGTTTCTACCCCAGAGATTTGTACCCCAGTGGAAAGAGTCCACTGGTGCAATAACGTGTGCTGATTTTAGACAGGCTGGGAAAAGCTGGGGCTGCAAAACCCCATCAGTAGGAGGAGAGTGGGTCCAAGGTCAGGGCTAGTTCTCAGCATGCTTGCTGGCCTCGAGGTGACAGGCTAAGACTCTGCATGTTGATCCAAGTCAGTCAGTCACAACATGATCATAATTGGGATTGTTTCTCATTTTCTGTTTTTTTTGTATTTTGTTTTTTTTCTTTTTTCCCCCCCAAAGCTAGCACTAGCACAGGAAGCCATTTTGCTTGGGTTTTATTTTGGTTCCTTCCTTTCCTTACCCAGAAGCATTCCTCCCATTTGAACTTATTACCTTCAGTTCTTGTGAGTGAGGTGACTGCCCTGGAGACTTAGCTCCTCTGTTTATCCACAGAACAGACACAGCACGGGCAGCGGCAGTGCAAGCCACCCCCAGCCACCCCGTGCCACTGTGTCCCAACCCTGACCTGGAGGGACCAGCTCTCGGGGTAAGAGAGGGATTCTGGCTTGTTCAGTGCTCAGCCTCCCTGCTGAGAGGGCCAGCAAGGGTGGTGGCTTTGTTCTCCCCGGACTCTTGGGCCTCTGAGGCCCACTTACTCCATCCCGTAGGCCGCTGCGTGCTGCGATTTGGCATTCTGAAGGCCTTGCCATACAGCAGGTCTCTGTCCCTGGTTACACTGGATGCCAGGTTAGGTTCCTACGGGGAGGGCTGCTGCCTCTGAAAGTCCAGTTCAGTTTATCTTCGAGTGAGGGGGGACCCTCTCTGTTACTTGACACTTCGTGTTTCTTACAAACCTATTTGTTTCTATTCTTACAAATAGAATTTAACCAAGCCCAACTCCGATTGTGAAGTGCTGTACTGTGGAAGGGAAAGCTTCCCCAAAAATCGGCTAGGAAGGGCTCAGAAAAACAAGGAGGAGAGAGACTTTCTCCCAAGGGGGAAAAACTTAAGACCAACTCAAGGAAATGTGCCTTGCTGTCGACAGCCCGGCTGGCTCGTTGCACAGGTGGCAGTAGACCGCGTAGCTCGTTTTCTTTTCAGAAAAGCCTGAGCAGCCCGTTAGGGCTTTTGTTCCCAGCCTGTGGATTCGTGTGTCC